ATGCCGTTGCGAAAATGCGTTTTCTGTTCCCCGAAGGTTTTTGTCAGTAACAGTACCGGTTTTTCCTGTAAATGCTTCTAGCTAAACGAATTGGGTATGGCCGCCAGGACTGTCAGGAAGCATCCCCTTAAAATTTCAGTTTTTTAACTTTGCTGTTTCCCGAGTTAGTAACTTGCCCGAAAAAAAAAACTTTCCCTGGCCTATAAGTGGGAATCACGCACATCTGGGGATTAGATCTGAACTCATTGAGATTTACGTGGACGGGGAAAATCCCCTTAAAATTTCAGCTTTTTAGCTTTCCTGGTTCCCGAGTTAGCAGCTTACCCGCTAAAAACTTTGACGGACCCATACATGGGAAACACGTAGGCAAGAGCACCCATTTTGGGGTTTGGAGTCCGTACGTGCATGTAGATTAAGTTCATAAAGTTTCAGCCCTGTAGCTTTCGTAGTTCTCGAGAGAAAAATCGGTGCAGACGAACACACAGACAAAGAGGAATATACACACACACAGACAACCCCTCGACAACATGAGTTTTTGCATTGCATAGATGCGAGAAACGCATAAAAATCGGCATGCAACTAACCGAAGTGGAAGTGGCCGGAGAAAGCAGCCGGTATTTCGCATGATACTTTTCCCAGTACTTTTCCTCTTCCTTCTGGAGCAGCTCGCCACGTTTGAAATATTTCTTATTTGATGCCTGAAACAAACGCACAAACGATGGCACTGCTTGATTCCTTTCCTTTCCCTATTCCATCTCTTTCTTCCCTACAACTGCTACTGATGGCTTTCGCTTGCGGGGCTCACTCGGAAGCAATTTGATGGCGTTCCTGCTGCCAGTGTCAGCTTACCACTAAAACGAATGAACGAATCGCGGAAGGACCGATTATCCCAATGGAGCAGACGAACGTTGAGCCTAAAGCACCGGAGCAATAATTGGCTCAGCGCCAATTCGCCGCCAGCGCCTAACAAAGTATTGCTGCATAAAAAATATGCAATAAAAGCAGTACCTCAACTTCTTGCAACTGCTTCCTTTTACGTTCAATTTCAGCTTTCAGAATTTCCATTGCAGAGCTGAAATAATCAGACAGCTACAAACTGCACTTCAGACAACGCGCATTACAGACGAACTGGGACCAATACCCACAGATCTCAAAAAAAGCGTGGAACAATAAACGAGCACCTTCAAATTTTTCAAAAAAAAAAAATACTCAGGCTGGAACGCACCAGGCTCCCCGGTGCGATCATACATTTTTGCACTAAACTCGCAGATCGCTATTAGCAGGAATGATCCCAACGCTGTAGCCTAAAACTTGGGCTCATTTTGGTCGTGCTTTGACCCCTTCCGGCATGCAGGAGGAAGGGGGTCAGTTGAGATGAAGCTGGTGCATCATAGAGCCGCACGGACATCCAGGTGCATGATTACCGGTTTTTTGCATGAAGTCCGGTCGTTTTTTCGGTACCTTTTAAAATATAACTGCACGAGAGAAACAGCTTGAAGACTGAGCGATCTGCAGTAGAAAGAAATAGATTCTGCGGAACATGAAGAGATGGAAGCAGCCAGATGCTAGGAGTGCTGCTGATCCTGCAACCCCCCTACCTCCCCGGTCAAAAATGCCAGATTAC